TCCAATTCAATTACCATGTAGGGGGAGTTTTGTAACCCTACAAAAGAGTTCACTGATTCTAATGTTATTACCTAGGCTATTGATCTGCTGGGTGTTTCGTTGGAGGAGGCAACTGAAGAGGTTCATGGTTGTAGAGGTCTTTATTATAGCATGGATTGGTTAAAGCAGACATTTACGCGTCAGTGAGCTGCTAGTAGATTTAACTGTGTAGCTAGAGCCTATATGTTGTTGTTGGTATGCTGCACTATTTTTTTATAAGACATTTACTCTTGTAGAGGAAAATTATTTACCACTATTTTAGGATTTGCTTGAATGTGGTAGATACTATTGGGGGCAGCTGCACTTGTCACACTTTACAGATGTCTAGGAGATGCTTCCTTTTACAGTTTCAAGAAGCTTGGAGGATGTGCCTCTCTGCTACCAGAATAAATATTTTATTTTAATTTTATTTAGGCTTATATTAGCTTATTTATAATTCTTTTAATTGATAATATTCATGCTCTATAAGAGTGTTGGATTCATGAGTATTTTTCAACTGTTGACAAGAGAGGATTTTCTAAGATTGTTGATATCGGTAGTCCACTTCCTAGGCGATGAAGTGGATGTACAAGCACGACTCACAGAAGGTTGATGAGCTCAGGACTGTGTTGGATGGATTGACACCAATTGATGTCATTTGGCGCCCTTTTGAGGATCACAGACAACACCAACCATTTGATGATATATGTTGTAGAGGGGTGACCTGAAATGGTATGATACAGTTGTTTTATACTTATCTGATAGATGTTTGCATCAGTTTGGATACAAGAAATACATACCATCTCTGCCTCCTGATATTGACACACTTGATCTAGATATTGAGTGGATTACATATCATGCGAGCGTGATGGAAGTGATTTGTCTGTACATCTTTGATATTCCATATGATGTGGTGGCTGATTACTTGGATTGGTACTATAGAATGTCACATCCTCGTTTGGAACCACCACCTCGGAGGGAGGTCATACAGGTTTTGGTTCCTGTCTATTATGTAGGACCGTCAGATCTGAGGTTGTTACATATTTCACATGAGCTTCATCGTTGTCTACATTGTCACGAGGCAGAAGAGGATGACGATGATTTTGTTGAGGTCTTTCAAGCACTACGTATAGCTCAGGGTATACTAGTACCTCAGGGCGGACCAGTACCTTATGTTAGTGACGACGATGATGTTTGATGTATTATTTACTATTCAGAGTTATGTAGTATTCTTTAGACTTCAGAATTATGTAGTATTCTTCATACTTATGTAGTATTTTTTAAACTTTAGAGTTATGTAGTATTCATCAGATTTATGTAGTATAATCCAAAACATACCATCAATTAAATATAACATGAATTCAATTGTAAATACAAACCAAAATATAAAAATCACATTATAATCATAATCTAATAACTTTCGAAACCACATGCTTAAGGCATTGCCAATGTTATAACCGTCCAGCAAATCGTATCATCTAAGAAGTTTCACCAGATGTGTGATACTTCTTCTAATCCTATATGACCAGTGGCAAAGGAAATCCTTCATTTATGTTTACCTATTAAGACAATTACTAAGTATGAATAAATGAAAGATAAGTAATTAACATAACAAACATGAATATTTACCTGAACCCAATGATTTTGGTTTACAAAACCAATGCAGTAAATGGACACATTAGGTGAATGTGAAGTTGTCATAGGAAAGAAATTTAAACTAGGATAACCCAATGAGACAAGAATGATGTTATACCTATTTTCTATCACAACCATTGACCAACCATCCTAACCATATCCATGCAATAATGCAATGACTCTAAACCCATAATTTCTATCACTCTTAACATCAACAATGTCATCAATAAATGGTTTGATACGTTCTAGAAATTGTTCAATGTACTTATTAGATGGTTTCTTCTTTGAGATTTAGGATAACTCTGAACATGACCTCTTTGAAGATTTTTGAGAACTGTTGTATGCTTGATCAACATACTCATGATATGATGGATTACAATAAACATCATATCTCATATGTTTCTTCCCTTTTTTCTTCACTCCTCCTTTGGTTTTTTACTTTTTTAGGTGGTGGACACATCTTTGTTGTAGTGGGGCAAGCAATTTCACACACCCTACTTTTTTAGTTCTCTCTTTCCTGCAACATCTAATGACCTAAACCTTTTCCATAGTACATCAACTGCATTGGTCATGTCCATCTTTGCTCCATCCTCTATATCTACCTCTTATTCACCTTCCATGTTGAGCTTCCTCCAATGGATATGAATGGTATCAATTGGTATTGGTTCAACACTCAATGTGTATCTACCTAGCTCACAAGCACAAGGTAACCCATATACTTTTCTATGAGTACACCCGCATATTTGGGTGTTTATACCCACCATGTCAACCCTTAGCCACTCTTCAGCAATGTGTCTCAAAGCAGCCTTAGATATTTACCCACACAAATTCCCTAAAATGGACTAGCGTGTGCATGCTCGATTTCATAAAAACTCATCTGAAATAAAGCTCTAATATTGCCCAATTGCACTTTGATGTTGCCATTCATAGCCTTCCAACATTTGCGCATATCACCTAAACTATTCTCCAACATTTGTTTTAGTTTGCAATGTGCAGACTCAACCCAAAAAAATAAGTACCATTAATATTAAGATAAACAAACTATGGTTAAAATCAGACACCTTACTTATTAGTCGTAGTGTTTCCCAAATACAACACTTTATTGATCCAAGCTTCAACAAATCTATGCTTGTAAGGCGTCAACCATGTGTCTTTCACATAATCAAAAAATGGTCTAAAATCCACACAGGTGTACTGAAGTTGTTGCAACTGTTGATGATACTCCACCTCATCATTAGCCATTAAAAGTTCATACCATAGCTTCTATATCGACCCTCGCATATTATTCACAGCATACTCCTCGCACTTCGCTATCACATTTTTGTTGATGTGAAATCGACAAAGCAAATTAAATGTTCTTGGAAATATTATTTCAATTACTTTCATCAAAGCAAGATCTCTATCTGTTAGAATCACTTGTGGACATAACCCTTGCTTAGTGAACAACTATTTCAACTTATCTAATACTCAACAAAAATTCTTTGTTTGCTCAGATTCCATATAGACAAATGCAACATCAAATGTTAACTCAGTTGATGTCATACCATCTACTTCAAACAAAAGTTTCTTATAATTATGTCTTTTGTACGTAGTGTTCATAATCAACACATTATAAAGCATATTTAACAACTTCACGGATTCTGGATGGGCTCCGAAGATATCTCTCACAACTTCTGACTCGTCCTTTTTCCTACTCCAATAAACATAATCAGAATCCTCTATCAGCTTAAACAAATATTGCATTTCTGTTGTAGGATCCGTGATGTCTTTCTGAATCTTACTCTTATTTTTATATATTTGGGTGATTCGAGTCACATTCTTCGGATCTCATTCTTGAAATGACAACAATATGTGTCTTGGTGGAACATGACGTTTTATCAAATCAACAATATGTTGTTGTTCATCAGCATTAAGTCAACCTACAAATGAATGACCTTCAAATCTACCTGGTAAACCATGGTTGTGAAGTTCACATTTTATGTCAATTTTCCAACCAGAGCCATATTTTGACGATGTTGACCTAATTTTGAATGAACAACCACATTTCTTGGTAGCACTTTGTGTTTCACTATCTCCTTCTTTGTACTTTCCACTTCTATCACAACCAAATATAACTTTGTCACTTCTTTATCTCTTATCAGTTTTGGTATCCGAATGGGTTATTATAACAGTAACTCTATTCCTAATTCCAACCTCCCTAATCCACCTAGTCGTCTCTTCTCGTGTATCAAATTTTTCTATAATCGAGAATATCTTAATCGTATCTACACATGTCTGGTTTTTATCGCATATCATCAAAAGAATATCAATACCTGCTAAACATAAGTGTGACAAAAATTAATAAAACTAAAAAAAATTAAAAATAAGTGTTTCAAATATCTTATTATCAAGAAAACCGGTTACTAAAAAACACAAACTGAAACTTTTCTTTGCAAGTTATCCGATACTAAAATAACACAAACCGAAAAACTCATGTTGAAGTTATCTTATTAAATAATGTGAACCGAATAATTGATCAACAAATTATCTGGTATGATAAATTTAACAATTGAATTTCATTCCTTTAAGTTTTCTAGTTTGATAAAAAAAAAAACACCGGTAGATTGTTCTAGTAAAAAGAAAAACTAGAACAATAATAAAGAAAAAAAACTTAACAAAGACAAATGTGGGGGTATGCAGTTCCATACATTAGAGTGTTTTCGTAAATGTTTATGGATTTTAGCATGTAAAAATATAATTTTTCGTGCATTTTGATCAAATTTCCATGTGTATTGTGTTTAGGTGGAACCAGTGGCGGTACTTCTGCGTGTACTTGTTTGTCATGATAAGATATATTTGTTGTACATATATGGTTAGAATGAATGATGTCAAACAAGACTTTTGTTTGTTACTACTTACTACTCATTCGGTTACATGACTTTGGTTAGTTGCAGAGATGGATGTATCTATCAACAATTTAATTTGATTCCTAGTATCTTTATGTGTGGTCCACTAACATGTATAACTTTTTAAGTGCAGTTTGTTTTGGTGCAGGCAATTAACATATGATCACAAATTTTACAATGAATATAGTATTTGAACCTTCCCTAACTAACTGATCTTACCATTCAACTTTAGAGGCTCATTTAATGGATGACAACAAACAACCAACTCAGCCACAAAAACGGTGCTAAACACAATTAACAGCTACCAATAATCTTTGAAATAATACAGATATAAGTCACCTATGTACCATTAATTATCCTATACCATCTTAGAGTATAAATAATGCATGCTTATGAGAATTGTAGCACAAGCATCCTTATTCAGCTTCCATTTCTAAACTACTTTTGTTGATTTTCTCAATCATGAAAAGGGCTTTCTGTATTCCTTTGTTGCTCCTTGTAACATTATTTTATGCTACTTCTGTTGTAGCAAGAAATGATCCCTCAGGTTTTTCATTTTCACATTAATATACATAATATCAATATAGTACATAGTAATTTATATTCTCCCATATTTGGTAAAAAGAGTTGATAGAAATTTATGATATTAAAATATGACTTGAAAGAAATATATAATTTGTTGTCACTTGTGATAGTAATTTGGCATTTGTTGTGTAGGGAATGAAGTGAACACAGAAGGGAAGCTTGCAAATGAAGGGGTGACAAAGCCAAGCCTACAAGGATCCAATGAAGATGAAAAATTCATTGGATATTTTTATCTAAAACACAAATTCAAAGGATATTTTCACAAGAAACCAATTTATTATAAGCCCATTCCAACCTATAAGCCTTTCCACAAACCAACCATAGTGGATAAACCTACCCCTTCTGTTGTTGAGCCAGAATCATTTCACAAGCATAAGCATTATTTCTTCAAAAAGCCAATTATTCCCATTGTTAAACCTGTTTATGTTCCCATTTACAAGCCTGTTCCAAAGGTCATTCCAATTTACAAACCTATTCCAAAGGTGATTCCAATTGTTAAGCCAATTCATTAATCCGTTTGAGTGAAGAAATTAATCTATCTCAAGTGTTTCATAGAAGTACCATGCTTGAAAACTTTAGCTTCATCTTGCTAAATCTTAACACAATTTCAAATGTGTGTTGCATTATCTATCTTGTGTAATTTATATTCTTATTTTGAGGGAACTTATGTTGTGTTGTGTATTAGCTAATGTTTTCACCTTAATAAATTTCTCAATTTGCCAATTGTCAATGATATTATATTCTCGGTATATCTATTGTTAGAACAACATAAAACATAAAACCAGAATTTAAAGGTAGTAACAATGGTGAAAAAAAATTTGGGGAAGAAGATGAGATTGAGGGAGAAAGAGAGAATAGGGAAGAGAGTAAAATTGGATGAATCACTAAATTGGCATTAACTATGAATTGGGATTACAACAATGTATATATACACATGAGAGAGTAATCAAAAACAAACAAAACCAACTAAAGTGGTCAAAGTTGTTAAATTTCCAAAACAGAATTTAATAGCTTTCAACACACCACCTCACTTTAGTTGCTCCAAATTCATCATGCTCAAGCTCTTCAACAGTCTCTTGAACACCTCATTTGTCACACCCTTTGTCAACAAATCTGCAACTTGGTCCTCGCTTCGGCAATAGCTCAATCTAACCTTTCCATCACCGACCAATTCTCTCAAGTAATGAAACCGCATCTCAATATGCTTGCTCCTTCCGTGTTCAATCGGATTCTTCGCAAGATTTATCGCGGAAACATTATCCACAAACAGTGTGGTGGCATCATCATCACCACATCCCAATTCCTTCATGAGATTCACTAACCACATAGTTTGGCAAGCACTCAATGATGCCGCAATGTACTCGGCCTCACAAGAAGAGAGTGCTACAACCGGTTCCTTCTTCGAACACCATGAGATTGGTGTACTACCGAATATAAAGATGTAACCCGCCGTAGATTTCCGATCATCTTTATCTCCGCACCAATTAGAATCGTGTAGCCAAGTAAAGTACATTTGCGACCCATATCTGATGTGGGAAACAAAATACCACAACCAAGAGTACCTTTCACATATCTAAGGATTCTCTTGAACGCCGCCAAATGAGACACCTTAGGTCTCTCCATGAATCTACTCGCAATACCAACACTAAAAACCAAGTCCGGTCGAGTATTGCACAAATACCGTAACGATCCAATCAAACTCCGGTAAAGTGTTGGATCCACATCATCCTCATCATCACTTTTGGACAGCTGAACTCTAGCCTCACAAGGTGTATTAGAAGCATTACAATGCTTCATTTCACACTTTTTCAAGATATCTAGAGCATACTTTCTTTGATGCATAAGCAGCCCCACTTTTGACTTGTGGAACTCTACGCCAAGAAAGTATCTCATGACACCAAGGTTCGTCATCTCAAACTCACTCATGAGCTCCCCTTTGAACCTTGAAATACTCTTGTCATTGCTGCCTGTAATCAAGAGATCATCAACATACAAGCATAGTATAATAACACCATCAATATTATCCGATCTCACATAAACACCATGTTCGGATACACATCGTTTGAAACCGATGTCAATAAGAAAGTCGTCTATACGTTTGTTCCAAGCTCTTAGAGCTTGTTTCAAACCGTACAACGCTTTGTGTAGCTTGTAGTACTTCCTCTCTTGATTTTTGATCACGAAACCGGGTTGCTGCCCCACATAAACCTCCTCATCAAGAGGACCATTCAAAAACGCAGATTTCACATCCATTTGATAAATCACCCAATTGTTGCTATGCGCAATCCCAACAACCAAACGAATAGTCTCCAATCTAGCCACTGGTGCGAATACCTCCTCGTAATCTATACCTTCACGTTGCAAGAACCCTTTCGCCACTAATCGAGCTTTGTGCTTGATTACTTCACCTTTAGGATTTGCTTTAACTTTATAGACCCATCGCACACCTATCGGTTTATTTCCGAGTGGTAAATCGACCAACTCCCAAGTACCATTCTTCTCAACAGATTCCAGCTCCTCTTTCATTTCACATATCCATTTAGGATCGCTTAAGGCTTCCTCCTCATTTACCGGTTCAGATTCGGCCATAAGCGCGAAATGAACAAAATCACCATCATTATTCACTTCGTTATCTTGGAACCTCTCGTAGTCTCGGAGTCTATGAGGCAAGGCTCTTTGCCTCACTGGTCTACCATTATTCACTACAACATTTTCTGCTACTGTAGGTGCAGGTACAGCGGCATCGGAACCCTCCGAATCAGACAACTCGAAGAACTACTGCTGTTGTCCTGATGTTTCACCAGCTTTTATTTCTACAAAAAATACATCCCGGGTTAGCATGATTTTCCGATTCTTCTCATCAAATAGCTTGTAACCTCCAGTAGAGTGATATCCAACAAATATCAACTTCTCACCTTTATCATCCAACTTCTTTCTAAGTTGATTCGGTACATGACGATATGCAATCGATCCAAAAACACGCAAATGATTCACACTCGGTTTGAAACCAATCCAAACCTCTTATGGTGTGATCTTCTCCAGATTCTTAGTAGGACACCTATTCAACAAGTAGGTGGCTGCAGACACAACCTCACCCCACAATTCCTTAGGCAACTTCTTCCCACAAAGCATATTACGCACCATGTTCATTATTGTACGATTTTTCCTCTCGTCAGCCCCGTTTTGTTGAAGCGTATATGGAGGCACCACCTCACGCACAATACCCTCAAGATCACAAAACTTCCCAAACTCACTAGAAGTATATTCACCTCCACCATCCGTTTTAAGAACTTTGAGCTTCCGACCGCTTTGACGCTCCACCAAGGATTTGAAACTCTTGAACACTCCAAATACCTCATCCTTCCTCTTGATAAAATATGTCCAAAGCTTCCTACTAAAGTCGTCAATAAACGTAACAAAATATCGATTGTCGTCATAAGTCTCTACTTGCATCGGTCCACAAACATCGGAATACACCACCTCAAGTAAGCCTTTGGTTCTTCGACCCGCATCCTTGCTAAACACATTCTTGTGTTGCTTACTCTTCACACATTCCTCACGCAATTCTGTCGGAACACTAATATGTGGCAGCCCCGTTACCATTTCACTTTGTTGCAACATTTTGAGATCCCTAAAATTTAGGTGACCAAGACGGTAATTCCATAACCACTCATCTCTACTTGTCGCGGTAGCTAAACAACGATGCTCCATAACCTTTAACTCAACCTTAAAAGTTCTATTGGCAGCCATCGGCACTTTTAGAATTAACACACCACTTGAATCTAAAACGCGTAAAATCTTGTTCTCCAACCGAATTAAGTACCCTCTTTCAAGTAATTGGCCAATGCTCAAAAGATTGCACTTAATTCCCGGTATGTACAAGATATCTTTGATCCTTGAATGTCCAACATTCTTCCTTCCGATCAAAACATCTCATACCCCTTCAACGCTTAAAGTGGTGTCGTCGGTAAACTTGACTTTACTCTTTGCCGCTTGATTGATTTCCATAAACCAATCCTTCCGACCCATCATATGTGTTGAACAACCGGAATCCAAGTACCATTCATCTTTACTTTGAACTCCATCACGCATGGTAAGTAATGCATTTCGATCCGAGCGTATTTTTCCACTATTTTCCAAAACAGTACAGCTGTTGTCCCGCAAACTATCACCACAGTAGTTGCTGCCCAGAGCATCAACAATGCCATAATTCTCCTCCGTAATCATCACAAGAAGGGTATCTTCATCATCTACCTCTTCCCTAGTAACCTTAGCCTCATCCGCATCTTTTTCTTTGCGTTTTGAGCGACATTCTTTCGCAAAATGCCCAAGCTTTTGACAATTATAACACTTCACAGAACTTTTGTCAAACGGTTTGTAGGCACTTTGATTACCCTCTTTGGAGCTTCTTTCACGCTTCGAATTTTGTGGATATTTTCCACCAAAATTCTTCTTACTCTTTGAAGACCACTTCCCTTTTGTTCTCTTGTTCTTCTCATGTAAACGCGCTTGCAAAGCGATTTCCGCTTTGGCTTTGTCGGCACCTCTCTCTTCCATCCTTTGTTCATGCGCTTCTAACGAACTTTGCAACTCATCTTTGCTCAAAGTTGTTAGATCCTTTGACTCTTCAATAGCCACAACAATATTATCGAACCGTGATGTTAACGAACACAACACTTTCGATACAACATTCTGCTCAAGAATCATTTCGCCACATGACTTGATTTGATTAACTAACCGGGTAATGCGTGTAATGTAATCGTTGATCGTTTCTTTGTCCTCCATTTGCGTTAGCTCGAATTGACGTTTGTAAGTTTGTAACCTTACCACCTTCGCTTTGACGTCACCGGCGTATGCTTTCTCCAAGATTTCCCATGCTTGCTTCGTGGATTCACAATCGCCAACCTTCTCGAAGTTGTCGTTATCAACACAAGAGTGAATCAAGAATAGGGCTTTGTAATTCTTCTTCTTTTCTTCCTTGTGTGTAGCCCTAATAGCTTCGGTAGCATCAACCCCTAACGGTGTAACTCCATTGATGACGATCTCAAGAACCTCTTGATAACCAAACAAAATCTTCATTTGTTTCTCCCATTTGTCGTAGTTCTTCGAATCAAGAATTGGGAGATTGGTGGGAATTTGATCATTAGAAACGGTAGCCATTGTTGCAGCGAATTAGGATCAATAACCGGAGTTCTTGATGCCAAATGTTAGAACAACATAAAACATAAAACCAGAATTTAAAAGTAGTAACAATGGTGAAAAGAAACTTGGGGAAGAAGATGAGATTGAGAGAGAAAGAGAGAATAGGGAAGAGAGTAAAATTGGATGAATCACTAAATTGGCATTAACTATTAATTGGGATTACAACAATCTATATATACACATGAGAGAGTAATCAAAAACAACTAAAACCAACTAAAGTGGCCAAAGTTGTTAAATTTTCAAAACAGAATTTAACAGCTTTCAACATCTATTACATTATTGTGTGCGACAAGAAAGGAACAATTTTTAG